TTTGTTGCACATGCCTCCACACTGTGTGTGCAACACTCTTTTGAAGAATGCCGACCGCCAGCTTTGTGAATCACACCAGTATTTCTCTATGTTTAAGGCAAGCAACATCTCCTCAGATTTATTTGGCAATGTAACAATGCCTTCTGACGATTGCTTTCAGAATATTAAGGCCATGAAAGCTTGCTTTTTGCAATATATCGGTGTTGTGGCGCACCTGCCTAATGTGAGTGGAGTTTTGGCAGGCATTTTGCACAGTTGTATGGGAAGGCAAAAATTCTGCTCTGAAGAATGCAAGAAAGCCTTTGTGCACCTGTTTGCAAGGATTCGCCGGTTGTGGCATATTCGCTTCGTGAACATCTCCTTGGCTAAACAACGCACCAGAAAACCTGCTGCAGCACGAAAAATGCGGAAGTTTTTGTAACTTTTAGGATTCTGTTTGCATATTAGAGGTCTTGAAAAACTGAGCGCTCAGAAAACACGGACGACAAAAAGACACACATATGCGCAAAAGTAGGCGCTAGTTCCATATTTTTGAGTCACCGCTACTTCTATAGCTGAGGTCACCATTTTCTGCCTCTGAAGCGGACATGTGTGTGTACTATTTATCTGCTTCTATTTTGTTTTTGTTTTTTTTTTCATTAAGCAATATAGGTATGTTACGCTGAAGAAAGCATAAACCCTTCGTGTTATTTTTGAGAACACTCTATAGTGGCTTCAGTATTTTGTAAATTTTTGCTTAAGCTTTTATAAAGAAACCTGATGCTGAATAAAAAATGTAGCAATGTCTAACTCCGGTAACTTATGGTTTTTTGTATCATTTCCTCTTGCATCCTAAGTGTGCGGTGTGCCGTATTATCTTGTCCCACTCATGGGATGATTTTATATCGGGATACGTGCTGTGAACTTGTGTATAGTTATTACTGTTTTTCTTTTGTCTTTGTATATACATATGTGCGGCAATGTGCACTGGATTGATACTAGGTTATTAGCATGCTGGCATGTGCGGTCCACTTTTGTATGCGACCAAAAACGTAAAACATTCAAGTTGTATTTGTACTGCATAAACCGTACGTTTAGGCAATAAAACATTCAAACAAACTCTGCTCTTTATTCTTGTCTAATTTATGTGTACACGTAAACAAAAACAACGTCTTACTTAGAATAAGTAGTGCACAAATAGGGGGATGGGCAGACCATCAATCAGAACGCAATGATGGCCATTTTCATCATGTGGCGGGTTGCGCAACAGGAAGAAGGTCACGTGCTCGCCATCTGAATACCTTCCACTCGCTCAATTTGGCTTGCTGGTTCATTCCAATTGAATTTGGCGCTAAATCCCCCCCTCGCCACTCGGATCCTCAGTCCTCATCAAGATGGCGTCCCCCAGTGCATGTCTGCAATGCGCCGCCATGTTTTCGTACCGCCCCCAAACACCAGGCGTTCGTCCGGCGCTGCGAGCGAATATTGCGTTCCATGGAGGGTATAGGAAGTTTCACTCCCCTGGTATTACCATGTGCATTTAAAAAAAGGGAAGTGGACTGGATCTTATCGTTTTCCTTATCAGCGCCGGGCATGGGATCGATTTTACGTGTGATACCCGAATGTGTCACCATAAAAAAACAGATAGAAAATCGCCGCACCTCCAGGTGGACAGTCCTAGCTCAATAATGTAATTGATTGTTTGATTTGTGGGGTTTAACGTCCCCAAACCACGATATGATTATGAGAGACGCCGTAGTGGAGGACACCGGAAATTTCGACCACCTGTGGTTCTTTAACGGGCGCCCAAATTTGAGCACACGGGCCTACGACATTTCCGCCTCCATCGGAAATGCAGCCGGCGCAGCCCTGCATTCGATACCGCGGATACTGAATATGCCAGCCGTGTACGAGAAGGGGATATTCTGTATAGACGGATGCGGTGCCAGTAGGCGTTCATCCGGGATGTAGAGTAGGAGTGACGTCGAACCCGGGACCACAACTTTCTAGCCCTGAAACATTGATGCTCAACTACGATATGCTATGGGAATCATGAAAATGTCCAGCCTCCCTCTACCTTGCCCTTGCCCATCATATCGGAAACTGCGTATTTTTTGTTTATTTTTTATGTGCCCCCCTCTTATTTCAACTGCTTCCTTCATTTTCCCCTCCGCTATGTGTAGGGTAGCAAACCCATCTGGTTGATCTCTCTACCTGTTTCAAATATCGAATGAAAGTCTTGAATATATATTTTGGAAGAAAATTGAAACAACACCCTAAAATTACATGGAACGCACAGGCCACTACGTTGCGCACCAACCTATGCCCTGGCGGGACACACCATGTGTGTGCACCTGTCCATCGTTAACTCTCTGACTATGTCAGTGCCACGCTCAACGGTGGTGCGCAGAAGGCGTATAGCACAGGCCGTGCGATGCGCGGGACTCCCAAAATATGTGTGGGTTTGTGAGTGTGCACGTGCACATACACGTCTGTGTGTCTGTATGTCTGTGCGTGCGTGTGCTTTAGAATGCGCCAGAGTTCACACATCTGATAGCACAGTTCATCAAGCGCTGATAAGTTTTTTTGAACATGGAGCGTTTCCTGCGAGCACACCGAATAATATTACATTATTTAATTAATTGTTGTGAGATTGTTGTGAGATTGTTGTAATTGTTGTGAGATAAATAATTGTTTTGTGAGAGGATGCTGAAAATAACCAGGCTTCACATATTAAGCGCTGGTAGGTTGATGTAAACTCAATGGGTGTGTATAATTGTTAAAGCTGATTTATAAAACTGAATAAAATGTGTCCTTATTCTAGTGAGCGCACATACACATGGAGACTTTGAGAAGAGATTGGTTGCTCTCCTATCACACTCTACTTTCTGTCCAGTTCCGATGTCAAACTCAACTGGACAATAAAAATATTTAATGCAGCTCCACTGCCTTCATGTAACGTCTCCTTTGTTTATGTCCTAGCAGGACCAGCCATTTCCTTGCTGCGTCATCGCTATTTTTTTTACTTTATCTAATTGCACAAACGCGTCAACTAATGTAGGCCCGTGTGCTCAGATTTGGGTGCACGTTAAAGAACCCCAGGTGGTCTAAATTTCCGGAGCCCTCCACTACGGCGTCTCTCATAATCATATAGTGGTTTTGGGACGTTAAACCTCACATATCAATCAAACGCGTCAACTAAGGAGACTTATGAAGGCATAGCTACGCGAATGAGTCTTCTGTCGACCGTCGCAACTAAACATATGCCACGTGTGGGTGGGAAGCATTCTAGCTCGACAAATATAAAAGTCCACCTTGAACTGATCCACAGGACCTTAATGAAGTCCTTCATACCATATACCGCAGTGAACCCATTGTTTCTGACCTTACCGACAAAGCGCGTATCACACGCAATGAATGTTGAACAGGATTTGGAAAGAAATATATTTTCTTTAATATTCCAACACTAGCCAGCCTAAGGCCACTCTTTTGCGGAATAGGAGACAGTGCAAGGGAACGAAAAAAACGGTGCACGCAAGCTACCATCGAGATCTGTAACAATAGGAACTGAAACTACACAATGAACAATAAGACGCCTCAGTTCTCGACGCTGTAATGTCTAAACATGGACGATGTTCTTATTGCAAGCAAGGTTGCCCATTTGAATAAAAAATGCCGGACGTTAGTTAGCACGTTCTACGACCGTCACTTCAGTAAATACCATGCACCATACGTACAGCACGACTCTCATTTATTGTCGCAATTAAAACCAAAGGAAATTGCTTTTAGAAAAATTCTACAGGACATCTAAAATGCCTAGCGGCAAGCCTTAGCATTATGAAAAGGCTTAGTATATAGGCCTTGAGCTTTCTCTACATACTTCATGTAAAGGTTTGGGAAGGCTCAAGCTTATGCTTTGCACTGCTATGGCATTGCTATTTTAAAGTGGATTAGTCATGCTGTTGTTGTTTACAAGGTGAAAAAAAAAACACAGTTACACCGAAAAAAAAAAAACAGCGAATAACGCCAAATCAAAGAATATGTGTTAGAGCATCTCATCGCGACAGCCGTCGTTCTACCACACTACACCTAATGTAGCTGCTGGCACCATTTGTGGCTGGGAAGACGTGTGGTTCTTACAACAGAGGCTCCAAAAAGGCTGAAACCGCCATTAAATAATTTGTTTAGTTTTGTGATGGTCAAAGGGAGGCGATTCGCGGGGGTAGCGCTAAACCACGTTAGCAGCTGAAAACTTTCAGTGTGTAGTTGTAGGTCGGGGGATAGGGGATCATCAACTATTTCACTGTGTAGAACAAAAAGTTGGATTTCGCCTTCAAGTCGTCCGAGGCGTACACATGTGGGACCCTATGAGTATTTTTATGGGTACTATGAAGGGCCCCAGGACATTACAGAGAAGTGTTTAGTACTGCTGCGTGGCATGTAGGAATATATGAAGGCACTCAAACGCAAATCAGAAATTCATAATTAAGAGTTTTACGTGTCACATTGTTATCTACAGGCCATTCAGTCTTCGTTCGTGAACGCGATTGCGTTTTCCAATACAGCTGGTAGCTAAAATTTCAAATTATTGCAATAAGTGTTAGTAAAACTTATCCGGAAAGTATTAATGGGAGCGTATTACTGATGCTCTTCATGCCCGCTTTCAAGGAGGCACTATGCAATCAATATGCGGACCCCGAGGACTACTATATACGTAGAGGGAACAGACAGGTAGGCAATGAAGTGGTAAGGACATAGAGAGTGAAGAGAACGCAATATTATGACAGAAAATATAAAACTGGGTGGGGCTAAGTATGTGAAAGCTGAACAATAAAAGTATATATCACATATCAACCTGTTCAAATTTGCGAACGTGGTTAGGCATGGCAAATTATGCCCCTTCATAATGGGGACAGAGCTTCATTGTATACTTCGCGCAGATATTGTAAGTTGTGGCAAGGAGGATGTTGCACATAACAATTTAACATTTCAACACGAGAGAATGCAGTAACAGCACTCACTAAAGGACCCTGATAAACCGGCTGTTCTTGCTCTTGCGTCACCATTCGGCGAGGAAACAGCTGAAAAAAAAAAAAAAAACCAGAGCGCGATTATGCTTTTCTGAAGATGTCGTCATTAAAAGAGTATTTTGTGTTGAATGCTAAGAAACAGCTTGATTTTCAATGAATGCCTTAACGGTTGGCAGCACGATAACGCAGTTGTACGATAATGTAGAAGAGCCTCACTCAATAACCCATCAATCTGTCACTGGAACAAATTACCTGATAGTGTTGTAAATTGTACCACTGTAGAATCTTTTGTTTTTTGAGTGCCAGCCTCTGATTTTTATTCATGATTGTTACCTTTTTCTTGATTTTTTTATTCTTGTAACTTTAAGCAAGGGCCAATCCAGACTGTAGCAGGTTCAAATTAAAAAAAAAAGAGCTGGCTGAACTGAGACTTTTAACAAGGAAACGAGCGCTTTGAACAATTTTTGGTTCAGTTCACTGCTCCAACTGTTCCAAACTGTTCAGTTTGGAACAGTTTTTGGTTGGGCATAGAAAGTTATATCACGCCCCACTCCGATTTCGTAATTGTGTTCTAGCTATCTGTTACCTCTTTAAACATATAGCAGCATTACTCTAGGCTCACATATGTCACATGTGTAGAAAAAAGCATAGCGGGAATGGTGTCTCAAAGAAACGTTCTTACAAGACTCTAAATGCACAAGCTCTGATCCCAGAAATATAAAAACAAGTGAAATCCTAAAAAAATATTTATTTGTGCTTATAACGACCAATATTCCGCTCAAGTGATAAAAAATTGGAAACATGTTCGTAAAGTTGGTGATATCACAATTTAACTGTGTTCTGTTAAAGCGACATTCATACTCCAGAGACGATCTCGCAAAGTGCCACTGTGATTGAGTTTCTGATACCGTGGAATTATAACCAATCCTCTGCCAATGCTAACAGTTTTTTCCGATACATCAGAAGATGCTCATAGTCATTCCTTGTACTTTCGCGCTCTTCAATCATATACATTATTTTTGGATGTAGTAATACTGAAAACACACATTAGCTTTTTCACGGACAATTGTGCGTGACTAAAGGAGTTACTGTACTGTATCTCACAAACTGGTTGCATAAGAGTACAAGCTAGGACTTCTCACTTTTCAACTCCCCTGATAGCTATAAGTAGATGATAGAATAGGCAATCTCTTTGCGTCATTTAACACCGAGGAGATAGTGTCAGGCGCATCTTGTCCTTAATTTTGAGACGAGCTGTTTGTTCAGCCATGCCTGCCAAGCCTTCTTCCCACAAACGTAAGATTACATTCGGAGACAGTGCAAGATAGACATCACCGTCGGATCATCAGAATGTAAGCATAAAGCAAACACAAACGTCGGTTTAGAACTTACGAGCCAAAGAACTCATGAAGACAACTTCGTATTTTCGAGGCACAAGGAGTCAGCTTTGATGGGTGCACCATGTATTTTCTAAAGCATGATCTCCATTGGGTGCATTCTCTCAGTTTCACTGTGGCTGGTGGTCACACCATGCACAAACTGAGCCGCTGCCTAGCAACCACCGAAGCTGGCAGTGCAGTTCACCGCGTCATTTGGCAGGACATCAGAGGAGAAACCGGTGAAGCCATATTGCAACAACACAGGAGGACCCGGCTTTTGCATCGTATATATTAGGAATGGCTTGCGGGGATTCATCGGCAGGTACGGAATGTGAGTCGGTGAAACTGAAAGAAGCCAGGCTTCGTCGTCGGAGCGAAACGGAGGCAGAGAGCCGAAGAGAGGGAGGGTGAAGGAGCCGCACGGCTTGAGAAACGTCACCGTACAGAGAACTAACCTAAACAATAAGATTAACATTACCGTATTGCTAAAAGCATCCAGGAATAACTGAGTTAAGCCACAGCCAAGTTTCACCGCTACTGTGATTGCCTAATGCTAAGCGTTGGTTCGCTGGCTGAATTACTGCCGTAAATGTTCGCTGTACTTCGCTAACGCTTGAGCATAGACTATTGGGTGCCCCGTGACCATATGGCGCGGATAAATACAGTGTGTGGCCTGTTCGCTGTTTCATAGACGATAAAGCTCTCTAGCTTTACCTGCAGCACTGCAAGAAGCTTGTTTGCCGGTCAAGGTAACTATATATGCGTAGTATGTCCCAACTTTATATGTAAATAATGTGTATGACCAGTACTGCGCCTTCAGACGTAGTCTTTATACACTAAAGATTTCAGTTTCACATTCTGTTTTTGATCATTTCTTTTGTTGTAATTTTTATCCATTATTGCTTTCCGTAGATTGAATCTAGTTTTACTCTTGATATCATAATAATCATTCGGCTCTAATGTGGCCGGCCTTGAGATTCACTTTATACAAAAAAAAACAAAAAAACTACAAAATAAATAACTGTTCTTGTTTTATACCGAAAAGTGCTCCTCATATTATCAGCCAAAACCTCAAACTAATAGCATTCAGAGAGACACTTAAGGTGACCTAGTCATCTGTAAAACAGGTAAGCAGTCACTGATTGTTCAGGGTATAAAGAAGCAGTTCTGAAATACAAAGCAAGGTTATTAGAGATAACTCCACAGCTTTTCATAAGTTGTGTTTCTGGAACACAATTTAAAGTATCCTCATTGGGAAGTGAAATATTTAGCTATTATGTGTACGTAAAATGAAAAGTAGGATATTTCAAACAAGGTCTGTTAGAATAGCTCTTCAAAAGTTATAGCTTACTGGCTCGCTGAAGTTGTTCACGACTGCAAATAATACAAAAAAGAAAATTAACTAGAATTGGAAGAATAAACACAACTTTTTTTCTTTTGTACTGAGCTCCCGTTCAACATCAACTTAACTCCGCTCTATTTACACATTAGTAAACCTAAGCATAGCTCATTCTCTGAATACATAATCATCTAGAAACTAACACTTTGTCGTATGTGAGCTAAAACTAGCATTTTAAATCCTCCTGTGGCTATATGGAATGCTCTTACCATTGTTATATATTTACTGTAAAATATTCCAAATGGCTGTTGCGAATTTCCAAGTTTACACGATGCCATCAGTTGTGCAAGTTATGTCTCTGCGAAGTTATCATGCATTGTGCGCGTCACTAATTCATTACATATCAGTTATCAAGCATTGCACAGTACTACAGACTAGCACGTGTATACTACTACATCAGTCTTCTCATTAAAAGTAGGCCAAGAATCCACGGATGAGTCCGTGTCAGATTTTTATCGCGTCAAAATTCTAAGAAGCACCTGTCATAAATTTCACTCACCTAGCTGACCATGACCTACGTCAAGGACAAGTGCAGCCACGGCAATTAGAAGGCAACGTCATTGTTGCCTTCCTTTATGACCACCTGCGTTCACGGTGGCCCAGTAGCAAGAGTAGTTCGAACTACTCAGACCTTTTTATAAACCCGAGCGACCACTAGGAGGCGATGCTGACACCGCTTCGTAACAAGAACGCGGGCGAGAAGGGCCAAAAATTAACTAAATACTTCAGTCACAGCTCTCTTAATCCGAACACATGCTGCATCCCCCAGCTATTGAACGTACAACACGCTTGCATAAAACCAAGCGGCGCAGTTTGCACGGACAATTGGACAACGCTAGCGAAAATACAATGCCTTAGGAAGAACAGTCCCCATAAGATAATTTAACACTTGCCCTTGAAAAACACTTTTTGACGCTTTGAAGTCATACAAGCATCGCCTAAACTGGACTTCCGCTTATACGATGCTGATGAGGTTCAGCGTAACTTTTTGTTTGTTTGAGGTCACAATCTCTTTAGAGTAACAAAGAAGTGTACTGACTTGCCTCTATTCCTCAGATAAATAAATAAGCATGGTGTATTTTAACAAGATAAACTAAGTCGAATGCAGTTTTGTTTCTTTCGTGAGAGGGAAAAATGCTAGAAATGATTTGCATGGCTTTATACAGGTCCTGCATAACAATAGACTAGCAAGAGCATACGTATAGCAACTGCAGTATATGCAAAACATGCCGCAGCAATCGTCGAAGATATCAACACGAATATCAGTGCGAAATCGGGCACAAGTAGTTGGCATAATGAGGTACGTTCGGAGGAGTGGTTTTAAGACAATAAATAGAAGCAATGACAGCAATACGTCAATACCTAAAGTACGAGAATAATTGACAAGGAACCTTTTTTGGCCGTGTATTTTGACATACCTGCTAATATTGCCAATTATGAAAATCACTTCTCATTCGACTTATCAACGAATAAGTCAATCAATCAATCAATCAATCAATCAATCAATCAATCAATCAATCAATCAATCAATCAATCAATCAATCAATTAGCTTATTTGGGACTCGTCACAGTAAGATAACGAACAAGAGGTCAAGAAACCTCTCCTTACATACATTTAATAATGATAAAAAAGAGGACAAGAATAAAAGGCAGCTATCAAGCAGCTCGACAAAGATGCTTGGTGATGCGCAGGTCTAGTGATGTCGGGATCGAATCCCACCTGCGGCGGCTGCATTCCCGATGGAGGCGGAAATGTTGTAGGTCCATGTGCCCAGATTTGGGTGCACGTTAAAGAACCCCAGGTGGCCGAAATTTCCGGAGCGCTCCACTACGGCGTTCCTCATAATCATATGGTGGTTCTGGGACGTTAAACCCCACATATCAATCAATCAATCCACCAATCTATCAATCAATCAATCAAGTTTAGTGATGTGTAAAAGTTTACAGTATGCATTGCGCATCTGCGGGATATCGGATGTTTTTTCAAGCCTTGTTTGCGTTTTCGTGAAAAACATGTTTTTTTTTTGAAATCTGGACAGTGATATATTGCTATTGTGGGTATATATTAAGAAAACAGTAGTCGTGCTTTCAAAACACTGGGTAAATAGCGTGAAGTATTTCAAATATCACTAAGACAAACAACATTTTTGTATTGTTAACCATTTGTGTGTCGTGTCGACGTAAAGAAGAACTTTTGGCTTTGACTGCCAAATGGGCTTTTCTCATACAAACTGGCACTTTCGTTTGATACAATGCGTCACTGGAGTACATCCTGTATCCGGCTTTTTAATTTGGGTCGAAAGCTGAACACAATCTTGAGGGACTCCGAAGTGGCATTTTATACCCTCATCCCACAGCGAAATTATATATTGACAAAAACCTTTTTTGGACGTGTATTTCGACATACCTGCTAATATTGCCAATTATAGCGAATGTAAAACAGCGAAAGACGTTATACATTCACAACAAGGGCAATTTCCGGCACCCTATGCGGCGTCAAGAACTTATCCTATATATGTCCTAAAGGATAAGTTCACGCAAGTTCGTTGACATATAGTGACACGAAACTAAGCACACAACACAATCTAATTACACAACACTAATGTTCACGTGAAAAGAGGCACAGCTTTGGCGCAAAGGCGAAGCAATGAATGCGATATCAACACATTTGAAGGCCACGTCCCGAATGAGAAGCAGATCGAAACGTGTCCCACGTTTCTCACGCACAAAAGATGGACGAAACGTAATCACAGGTACTCACGTCTCGCATTCACGACTGAGTACGATTCCGCGCGCCGGAGTCTTTTTTCTGGGATTTTTTTTTCTTTCTTGCGTTTTCATATATATAGATACGTATACATATACAGTGCAGGACGCCGACGTCGACGCCCGCGGCAAAATCCAGCCGAGAGTGTCCATATGATTGCTATCGCAATAATACAATTACTCGAACACTGGATATGCCTCTCTGTGCGCTTCTTTTCCTGTTCTTGCGTCGTAATGTTCTAGGACGTTTCCTTTCCTTAGTGTGCTTCATTTCGACCCTATTTTGCAACCACTACATGATGAAGGTGTGCCTCAATGTTCTCCAATAAGCCACATTTTGTGCTAGCTGATTCTTCATTGAGATTCTGAACTACTCTATCTCATCACTTCATCTAACCGTCTTCCATCGATGCATACACCTCCCATTTCATTATATTTATTCCGTCGTTCTAACTAAACGCCTGTGATGTCCCATGCAAATTACGTGACCTTCTTAGGTTTACTTTTCGTTTACTTTTTTTACAGTAAGTCGCAATGTCGGCCGCCCCTGTATGTTTTCTAATCTACCATGCTCCTTTCCACACTTAATTCTCCATATAAAATTCCCCCCTACACCTCACGTTAAGCTTTACGTAACGACCTCAAATTCCATCCATCGCTCTGGTGCTCTTTGGCCACATCTGGCGCTTGTGCCAGTAAACTTCACTAATCATCTCAAATTCCATCATACTAAGCACGAGAGCTTTTACACAGTAGAGGGTAAACAGCGTGGTCCTTGAACTTTGTAGTTGTTTAGTATATAGTGCACCAACTAGTTTGAAACCTCACGATGCTTTAGATTCCTCGTTATGAAGTAAAACACTCCGTTCAGCAAGTCGTTTCGTGGACTCAGCAAAATTTTAAATTGTGCAAAGGTGGCAGGAACAAAGGCATACAAAAAATGCCGGACATACAATCGGCTTTATTTCGCGAAAGAATTATGAGAATTTATTCGTTACCCAGAACTCTTAGATGGGCACATGAAGTTTCTCCTACGTATGTTATGCACAGGTGTTCATGCTGCTTTTTAACAATGTGATTGCAAGTGTTCCTGGTTCTGACTCTTTTTTATTTTGAAGTCTATAAACGAGCTGTTTTTCAATGATTCTGACACTCCAGCTTGTACAAGTAGCCCGCCCGTAAACTTAGGTTGGGGGTTCACCGAAAACAAGTAATAAATATGGACGTTCTCGTATATTTAGGGATCCAGCAAGGCTCAACCTCCTTTCCCACCCCTAAAAAAAGGAAAGAAAGCTGAACTTTGGGCCTGGCTGGAAGCATAGAATGGTTACACACTATTGTTTTTATAGGGAGAAGTTGACCGGCGGTCATGATTTAGGAACGTCCCCTGTAAGGGCTCCAACACATCTTTATTCTTCGATGAAATTCTTCTGAATGCGCACTTGTCCCTAATTGACCCACGTACGTGGTTTCGTACGGTGAGCTTCTGGTGTAAATGACCTGATTGCTGCCGGCTATTTATTCCCAGAACATCAATAGACTGGAACCACCTTCCCAGATTCGTGGCCACCTTGACCAATCATCACTTGTTTTGTTCTGCGCTAACTAGCATTGTATAAACGCCCACACTTGTTGTGTTTGTACACAATGTTTAGATTTTGTTATTTATATATTTATTTATTTTGTTAATAGCTAGCATTGTATGAGTAAAAAATTGTGTCTCACCCCTTCCCTCCATAATGCCTTTGGCCCGGAGGGTATTACCAAATAAATAAATAAATAAATAAATAAATAAATAAATAAATAAATAAATAAATAAATAAATAAATAAATTTGCTGTATGCACGTGTCCAGCTTTAGTTTCGTCATGATGAAGAAAGAAAAAATAACCCTGTAATGCATGATTGTAGCTGCAGATTTCTGTACACGTCGTTCCACGTCGAAATCAAATCGATACGCCTATTTTATTTATTCCTCCTTATTAGTTAGTTTCTTCTAATCGCTTAATGAATGCGAGACCAAGTGAATAGGAATAAAAGCCGCTGTGAGGCATGGAGGTGAATTACTGAAGGCCCTGCGGGCACTGTATCTTGGTAATTGCACATTTAATAACAGTAACACTGCGTCGAGACTGGCCGATTACGCACAGAGCACGGTAAAATCACAGCAATCAACGCAAACAGTTCTTGGCGTGCTCCACTATCGTCTGACACTCGGCGCTTTCCGGCGAGTTGATAAAGATGCTCTGAACATTCAAAGAACGTGAACGAAAGTACAGTTGTACGTTTTGTCAACCTTGATGTTGTGTTTTCCGTTGAACTCTCCATTGATATGTGGATCTGTGGTTGCATTCTGCATTCTGATTTTGCAGAATGCCTGCGTCGTATTAGAGGTGCTTGAAATCATGCTCACGCAGCATTTGGCCGCAGGAAAAAAAAAACAGGACATACGGGTGACCAGTAGAATGCGGACGGTGTACCTGTGACTGATTTGTTCGCCTTGTTCGCGTGGTTTTACTCTCTGTGCCAATAAACCCGGCAGAAGTGTCTTTTTCTCACAATGTGCGCAGGCTGCTTCACCTTTAGAAAGAGCGTAGTCAATATTTTAAAGGGATGAGGATGGGGGGTGGGTAGTTCCAGTACTCTTTATGTAATTTTATCGGCGTGTATATATATGTGGCAAACTCGTGAGCGGAGGATGAGATTAGGAAGTTCTCAGGTATAATATAGCACAAGAAAGTACAGGACTGGGTTTATTGACGGAACACGGGAAATGCCTTTGACCGACCGTGAGCGTAGTCATGCTGACGACGACGACGACGACAACGACT